GCACGAAAGTCCAAAAAAGGCATGCACACTTTTTATTTTAGAATTTTATATTCTATGATTTAGCCCCTCACTAATGGATTCCCTCATTTCCTCTTTGTAAATCCATTGGCTTGTAGCGGAGATCATTTTACTACACTGCAATTTAGATACCAGTGACCAATAGGAGGACCCTGTTAAACCCCAATCTAACCCCCACTGGTACACATCTGACAGTTAATCCTACGTGGATGAAGCAGCAGCCCAGATTATCTGTTGCTGGTCTATCACATGGCCTGATGCTCCATTGCAGGGCTCTGATCCAGTGGGAGCCTCTGATCCAGCGCCTGACTGCTAATCCACCTCCCGGTTGATAACTCATGACCTCACATCCCTGTGTCCTGATGTGTCGGTGATATGGGAGAGTGGTGGACAAGTGTGCCAACAGAGACATCTATAGGTATTTTTTCTTCTCTTTATCTGGCAGATTACTATAAATATGGAAATACCCATTGGCTATGCTTTTTTGGGATCTGCTAGAGGTGACCCATATTTTTGTTCTCATTTTGGAACAGCAACCTAATTCAAGCCTCTCAAAATGAACCTACAATTGACATAATTGTCCTGTGTCTGTCCTTTTTTAGGAAACTATGAGATTTCCAGCATATCACATGTGACAATGTCACCATCAAGACAAAACAACCTTGTGTCAATGTACTCTTCTTTGCCCCTGTCCAAAAGCTCCTACAGTGTGATAAGTGCCTTTTGCACAGAGGATAATATTCCTCAGTGCATTATATACATCAATCAGGTATGGAAATACTCAGGTTTACTTCATCTGTTATTAAAAATACAATGCATTTGTCTAGGTACATCCTTCACAATAGGATTGATTGTAAATAATAATTACTACAAAACCAGGACAATGACTAAAGTCCTCTTTCTTTCACAGGAGCTTGCCTCACTGGGCCTCTCTTCCACATGTATCGAGGCCAGCTCACCCGGGGGAGCTGGCCTGAACACGGTGCCAGCTCTGAATGCCATGTATGAGCTGCTGCAGATTCACAGACGAAACATGTGCACTTTAGAGGAGCTGGAGAAAGAACAGCTGAAGAAATGCAGCACCTTGGAGCACATACAGATGAACAATTCCAGACTCAAGGCATTTATTATTGGGGGGGGTTACTTCTTATTCCTAGTCCATTTTCAATAGTAGACAGTTTTTCATATCTCTTTGGATTCAATTCAGTGTAACCACAGACTGTAATCTTTGTGTCCTGGGGTAAAGGTGCAGTAATAGATTGCTGGCCACTAGCAAGCAGACAGGAGACTCAACAGTTATAAGATGCCCTTCACTCTTCGCAAGTACTGTATAACTACTACCCTACAAAGGCAAAAAAAAGGACAAATTCCAGCCATTTTTAATAGCAACGATGTTTCCATATCTCTAGACTAAACATACTTTCTCTATCGAAACCCGCTAAAGAAGTCAAGGTTATGAGTATCAAACTGAGGAGTAAGGAATGGTGGCATGCTAGTTTGGATTACACTTTTACAGCACAATTTTCAATTTCTTGAGAAAGGGGATAATAATAGCAAATACCTGATCCATGTTTGCTCAGGAATCTACTCTTGCAGCTTCAACCCTGAACTGATTGCTCATACAAAACATTACCATCTGACTGTGCTCATAATGAACATGTATTTCCTTCCAGGATCAGTTGGAACTGTCCATAAGGGAGAAGTCGGGTTTACATGAGACAGAGAGGCAGCTACAACTCAAAATAAAGACTTTGCAGAGTTGCTTAAAAACAGAAAAAGATGAGGTAGACTTACTTTTTTTCCCCTATCATCAGCATATTTTCAGTTTTACAAAGTTTGGAAGTGTATGCACACGCCTCACAAATGTGCTCATGATTCAATTATACTGTGCAGGTTCAGAAGCTCCAAAGTATCATTGCCAGCCGTGCCTCTCAGTACAGTCATGATGCCAAGAGAAAAGAGAGAGAAGCTACGAAGCTCAAAGAACGACTCAGCCAGCTACTGGTCGATAGAAAGGATAAAAAATTAGGTAAGCGTACTGATCTTCAGCATGAATATACATCAGTCTAAGGTGTGTGTATTGAATACATGGTATGCAGCTTCTTCATCTTTTTTTCTGGAAATTTTAGAACCACTTGTTTTTCGCTTTTCTGTTTTAGCTATTGATGTACTGAATTGCTTGGGAAGGTCTGACGGAAAAAGGAGCCACTGGAAGACTGCAAAAGTGACAGCCAGGTACTGTGTCATGTTACGTGTTGACCATAGAACTGATAGAATGTGTATTATCAATCAGGTTAACTGTATGTGTGAATTGCCCCATGCAGTCATGAGGGTGAGATGTACAAGTCCTTGCTCAGTGACTACGAGACGAGTCAGAAGTCCTTGATGCTAGAGAACGCTGAGCTCAAGAAAGTCCTCCAGCAGATGAAAAAGGAGATGATACATATCCTGAGTCCACGCCAGACCTCTACCAGAGGAGCCGGTGCTGATGACAGCCAGGAGCAGGTATTTTTTAATCTCTTTTTTTTGTTTTTCTCACAGTACTAATGCACAAAAAAGAAGCCTGTTAGATAGGTTGAGAAGATTGATGAGAGGACTATTGAGTAATGGTGCTTTTTTTCTGACTGAATTGATCATTTTTTTTATTAATCATTACATGTAAACCTCATTTGTGAGCATGCTCATGTGTATCAGATTTAATGAGATGAGATGGTTCCATGTTGAAAAGTTACTGTTTCTTCTTGTTTTGCTCAGGCGGATTCAGATGGGGAGGAGAAGACGGGGGACTCTAGCAGGGAAACACTGGACCAATCCTGTGAGCATGCTAGGGAGCAGCTCACCAACAGCATCCGCCAGCAGTGGCGGAAACTGAGGAACCATATGGAGAAGTTAGACAGCCAAGGTAATCACAGGACTCTCACATACCCTGAAATACTGTAAAAGTTACTAAATTTCTTGTGGTGGTGGTTTTATAGATTAAATGTTTTGACGTATACCTGGAAGAAAATTCAGTTTAACAACTCTCTTATGTTTTTTGTTTTCCAAGCATCTCAAGTGCAAAATCAGCTAGAGTCCAATAAAGAGGTGATACCAAGGGAGACCCACGAGGATGAGATGGAGAGGATGAGGTGTGAAGTCCAGCAGTGCAAAGAGTTCATTCATGCACAACAACAACTCCTCCAGGTCAGTATCTGCTGACAAGAGATTTTCAGCAGGTCTGTGCATGTTAAACATTTGCTTATCAGATTTTTACTAAGACATAAGGCTTCTCATTACCAGTTTAAAGGATGAAATAACAGTTTAGATAAAGTACATGTCGCTTGTACTTTATTGAATGTAATTTGTGCATTCTAAAGAATAATTTGGTCTAAACTGATAAAGGTGTCTGTCTGTTTCTTCCTTTGCAGCAACAACTCAACACATCATTTGATGACGAGACTGCAGCTCTACTTAACGACTGCTACACACTGGAGGAGAAAGAGCGACTCAAAGAGGAATGGAGGCTCTTTGAGGAACAGAAGAGAAACTTTGAGAGGGAGAGAAAGAACTTCACAGAGGCTGCTATTCGCCTGGGGCGAGAGGTACTTGAGTCACCTGATGTGGTACTGTAATGTTATTCATCATGTATTGTGGTGTTGTAATTGTTTTGTATTTGTTTCTGCATTTAACAGAAAAAGGCCTTTGAGGAGGACCGTGCGTCTTGGCTCAAGAATCAGTTTTTGAACATGACTCCCTTTACAGACCGTAGGAGATGTTCCTCATCTGATGGTCAAAGTGCCTTATCGATCAGTAGGTTTGGGTAATTTTTTCAGAAGAAAAAAAAATTATAATATAGTCACAATGTGTATATGCAGTATATAATCAGCACAAATTAACTGGTAGGACTGACCTTGATCTTAGTCTTTTTCATTTCCTATGTACTGCTTGGGCACATTCAGAAAATTTATTGTATACAAATGTATGCATTTTCTGAATAAGAGCAGTAAAACATATATTAATTGGTATACTTGAACATTAATTAGTCTTTTTAGAGAGGATGTATATCAATTGCGCTTGGCACAGTGCAATGAAAACTAAAAAATAAATTGTCGATTATAAAAATGAAAACCTAAACAATACGAAATGTTTGACTAATATTGTATTTTTAAACACCAACAACTTAATTTTTTTTTCATCTCAATATCCCCTGCATTGCAGGAAGTGAGCCAGAGATGAGGATGTCTTCCACGAAAGCTGAACTGACCAAATCATCAACCTACGCTACCTTCTCCACTCCTAAACCTACACAAAGTGCTGGTGTGCCATCCACAACTGAGCTGTACCGGACACTTCGCCTAATACCAGACGGCAGGTACTATTCAGTCACTGCTGTAATTAATATTCACTGTATTTGGAGAAATTGACCTGTTGCTGGCTGTTTTTGCACCATGTCACACATTAATACCATTCATCTGTATTTTTCGATGTCAGTTCCTCCAGACATTCAAATCGGGGACGCTGGCAGGAGTCCAGCACCACTGAAGATGGAGATAAACATGCACAGTCAAAAAACAGATTTCGATGTGGAGACCTGAGTATCTTCTCTCTGGGTGAAGATGAGAACATTCTCACTTAAAGAACAACCAGTGCCTTTTCAAAAAAAATGTGTCTCCACAGTGGACTTTAGCATCAATCCATGGCTGAGTTCCATCACCACTGAAGAACACTTCAGTTTTTGCAACTGTGTTTTTCATTGTTGCCTTTTTTATGGACATGCACACATCATTACTTCACCAAAGCTGATCAAATAAGAAAGCACTTTAATCTGACATTGTTCATTTATTTTCTTTACAAACAAATCAACACTGACAATTCAGACTCTAAGCTACAATCGGGGGGAGGGTATCTACCAAGTAGAGATTTGGACATACTGATTATATGGAATGCTTAAGTTTTAGTTTTAAAATAACTTTAATGTTTACATATTGTAAATGTATAAATTATGAGTTTTAATGGAAGCATACATTGACATTAGAATGATAATGATCTACCCTGCTGGTGTAACAGTACAATAAAGATATTTTTAATGAAATGCATTATTTTCTCTGTAATTTGTCGCCCACTAGTGTATTTCAATCGGAGTTGCAATCCAAAGTGTGAATAACTGGAATCCGGATGTCATCATCTTTGCTTTTGTCTCAGCATCCAGCCCAGAATCCCACCCACCGCTCGGCATTTATTTTTTCACAAAACACCTCGAGAATGTCGAGTTCCTCAAATCTTGTAGCCATGAAAAAAGTCGTGCAGCAGCTCCGGTTCGAGGCGAGCATACACAGAGTGAAGGTAATTGTTGGGGTTATTGTTTTTCTGCCAAATAACGAGAGAAATCTCGATCGTTACCCCGATCCGCTAGCAACGCTAGCTATTGCCAGAGGCTAGCAGCAGTTAGCTAAGTTAGCCCATAGTCAACAGGCGTACCAGGGCGTTGCTCGAAAAGAAAGGAAGTATTAAAAAAAAAAAAGAAGTCTGATACAATGTTGAGGTGAATCACTGAACTACTGTCAAAGGACAGATAATGTTCAGACCTCAAGCTAGTGGCAGCTAGTATATATCTAGCTATTAATTTAAAAAAATACTAGTCCGGATTTATAACCTATCGTAACATCACTTAAGAGTAAAACTGACTGAATGGATTAAATGTTAAATCAAGTAATAAGATTAAAACAGATAAATATTAAGGGAGTATCACAGATATTCGAATGCAGGGGATCATCAATAATGGATGTTTTTGAAGACTCAAACATTTCAAGGTTTCAGTAGCACATTCATGCACTTCATGCATCACACTGCATTTGGGGAAAAAAACTAGGCCCTGCAACTAATTTGTGTTCATTATCGGTTAATCTTCGATTAATCGTTACATCCATAAACATAAATTAAATGTGAAAAATGCCCATCATAACTTCATAGAGTCGAATGGGACATCTTCACGTGTTGTTTTGTCCAACCAACATTTAAAACTTCAAGGTGTTCAGTTTGCTATCATTCATGACCAAGCAAAAGCAGCAAATATTCTCATTTGAGAAACTAGAACCAGAAAGCATTTGAAAATGACTGGAACAATTAATATATTATCAAGAGTCGTTGGTTCATTTTCTTTCCATCAGTTAATTGACTAATTGACTAATCATTACAGCTGTAAACAAATCATATAATATTCTATTCCCTCATGGTTTTGATTTCTTGCACATAAATATGGGAAATATTTAAAGCATTCCAGAAGTCCATTTCCATAAAGTTTGGAGACTCAAAAGTAGAGCTAAATGATATGGGGGGAAAAAAATCATATTACATTTTGGCAGATATTGTGATTGCGATACGATTCACAATTTCAGTCAGAATGCTCATTTTTGCATTTCAATTTCACTGAAAAAAATGATAATGATCATTTGTAGGCTGGGGCGTCTGTGTTGCACTACATTTATGGTATGTTGGTATGGTATGCCTTATTTATGGTATGTTGTGACACATTTTACCTATCAAAAAAACTGTTGCCCCTGCGATTTGGATACTGCAATTGGCCATATTGTGATTTTGATTAATTGTTCAGCCCTACTCAGAAGTGAGTCTAAATTTAAACAGCAGGAACTATGATATCCCGACTTTAAATTTCGAGGTTGAATCAAGCTTAAAAAACGCTGGATCCTAAAATCTCCACAATGTAATTCAGTACTGTCCTTTTGATGATGTCATCTGGGTTATTTTTTTGTTTTTAAAATGCTCCCTCCATAGCCACATTTATCATTATAAAACTGTTTTTACTGGAACCCCCCCCGATCCCATCTGTTTTTGCAACCCTAATCTAACCCAATGTCATGGGTTGCATTTTTGTACATCTTTTGTCACCAGGTCTCCCAGGCAGCTGCAGACCTTCAACAGTTTTGCATCCAGAATGCTTTGCAGGACCCACTGCTCACTGGTGTGTCCTCTAGCACCAACCCCTTCAGGCCGCAGAAGGTCTGCTCCTTCTTGTGAAACCACTGTATTCATTGGTGAGTCTGCCACCCTTTCGATGTATTCAGACACATACATCCAGCACAAGCAACTGGTGTGACTTTTTTTTTAATAGCTTTGCATAACGGTCTGAAGAATCGCTGAAATGCTAGTCAGAGTTCCTTGAATTTAGGCAGGTGTTCCTTCTGTGCCTCTTAAAATTAAGTGTTTTCAGTGAAAGGACTCCAATTTATTATGTTAAAAGTATTTTGATTTAAAAGATGGCTGTTCAAGGTTGACAGTTCCCTCCACAATAGAGACTAGCGTTGGGGCTCTGACTAAGAATGCTCTGACACTTCTAGCTTTCAGCCGCTCGTCATGAACAGATGAAAGGCCACTACCTAAGGATCTCAGGCTACGTACCGGTTCATGTGTGTCTGCGAGGTCAGATATATAGCGTGGAAAGAGGCCATGAAGAACCTTTAAAATCAACAGAATTTAAAATTAATTCTAAAACATACTGGACACCATTGCAAGGAGGCTAAAGCAGGTGCAATGTCATCACTACTCTTGCATCTAGTTAAAAGGCTGGTAGCTGATTATACTGTTGAGAAATCGTAATGTGTCTCTAATTGTACAAATACCGTTGAACTTAAACTAATTAAAAATCAAATCCAGTGTCTAACATGTTGTCTATTTTTGTCTCTGGTGTTATTTTTTGTTCTGCAGGCCTTCATTTTGATGCTACAGGGAAAAGTTGACCTCAACACTGCTCCTCATGCCAAGCCATTATACTGCCACGGGATCTCTGGAGTGTAGAACACATTGTCAGGAAAATGACCATCTATTTTCAGCCACAGTAGAAGAAAGGAGACCGTTTTATTTTTCATGGCACAGTGTGATTTTTGAGTAAATTATTGTGCCTTTTCTATCGTTCTATTTTAGTCATCACTGTTCTGGACTTTTTTGTATTTAATGAATAAAAAACATTCTTTCCTACTCAAAGGTTTTATCGATATCGCATTTTCTGTTCTGTCTGCTCTTCAGCTGTTTGACAGCATTGCATGATGGACATAACTGCTTGTGAAAGGCTGCTGACAGAGTGCTGCCAGAGGCATTTAATGTATTCCAGATATAATAATGGAGAAAGCTGAGGTTTAGATCATTAAATCCACAAAATGAATGTTAGCTCTGAAGACACTGCATTACCAATGTTTTAAATTGCGTTACAAAATGAAGAAAAACATTAAAAAAAATAATTTTGGGCCCAGTTACTTTTGTGATAAACTTTCAGACTGCCAAATTGGGTTGTAGAGGATTATAACCAGTGGTGGAAGAGTTCTCAAATTCTTTACTTGAGTAAAGTAGAAATACAACAATAGAAATTGTCCTTAAAATAACATAGATATTATCAGCTAACTAAAAAGTGTATGTGACATAAAATAAAATCTGGTCTGAAATAAGGGAGGGAATGCTATCATAAATGGACTTCAAAGGAACATTTTGTAATAACAAAAATCATAAAGAAATGAAGACTCATAAAACTAAATAATATATATATAATTAAATAATATCTAATAAGATTAAATTATTTTAAATGTTTCTTTCAAAATGTAATAGTTCATGTATTTTATTTGTTCATTTGATTATTTATTTCATAATGAATATTTATTTATTTAATATTGAAAACTTTGGGGCGCTGTAGAGTAAATGTAAAAAATAATATAAAATGGAAATATATGTACAAGTACAAGCACAAGTACCTAAAAATTGGCTAGTATTTGAGTAACTGTACTTGATTACTTTCCACCATTGATCATGATCGTAACAAAATGTCCTTTAATCTATATTATAATAATGCGCGTTACTTGCATGATGATCTGTTGAGACATACAAATATAGCACAATCGTCACATTCACCATTTATAATTTGAACATTGACAAAGGAAAAATACTACTTCTAATCATAAAGTAATCGCATCGAATGTTAGTATCGCAGCGCCATCCGCGGGGTGGTTGGAGTCTCGCGAGAAGTGATCAAACGGACGCTAGAGATCCATGTGAACAACACTTCCAGGAGCTCTGGGACTGAACCCAGGTCGGTCTTCTTTCCCGCTGCTTCAGCGGTTACAACAGAGCTCGTAACTCATAACTGTCGCTCGACCAGCCGGATGAATCTGTCTTCACCAGCTTGAAGAATGAATCATGGGACAGCGTTACTGTGGAAACGACGGTAACTTCTTTTGTTAACCTAGCATGTTAAATACAGTTAGCCAACAAGACCAATTGGTTAGAGAGCCGACGGTAGGTGTCTGCTCAGGTCATGATAGATAGAATTGCTGCATGATATCTTGTCTTGTCGTTGCCGTTTCAGCCAGCTTCAGGAAAATGGTTTAACGGTACGTAACGCTAACGGCTCACCCAGATGCTCACCCTTCATGATGCAACACTAGAGCCAGATATAGCTATAACGTGCTAGTTGTTCAGTTTTTGACTTAATGATTCTCATTATACAATCAGATCATCGAAGATCGTTAGTTGACTGGTTCAACAATCTGCTGCAGCTGAAAAGCTACTCTGTTGACCGTGCATGCAACAGTGAACCACAGCTAGCTAAACCCAATGATGATGCTCCAGGACGGGTCAACACAGCTCCTCTGCCTCACAGCCAGCAGCGGGGTTCCTCTTTTCACAAGGGGAGCCGCCAAACAGCTGCCCTTCTCTGTCATCGGCTCCCTGAATGGTGTTCACATGTTTGGAGGTGGTCAGGGAGTAGTGTTGTCCTGCTGTGAGACTGAAGGCGGGGGGAAGGTGGTGTGGAGAGTTTTCCAGGACAGTGTGATGCTCATCGCTGTGAGTGGAGGTGGACAAAGTGGTGCAGGCAGCAGCAAAGAGGAGGAGGTGCGTTTACAACGACTCCTGGAAAATGTGTGGAACTGCATGGTGCTGGTGTTGGGGCAGGATGAGTTGGCCAACATGAGGAATGTTGAGAGGCTGAAAAGGGACTTGCGATCCTGCTTCAGCCTCATTGATCAGCTGTTGGAGGAGAGGCAAGAGGGCATCCTGGGCAACCTGACACACTGCGCTGATTCACTGCTGCCTCCAAGCCCTGCTCTTCTTCAAGAAGCTGTGGATGGCTTTGCTCAGGCTGCGGACAGTGAGTTTGGTTGCCTTATTGTCCACGGGCGAATAACTGCAGCAACTGAGAAGTGGTGGCGCCTAGCACCACAGGAAGTTGTGCTGCTCTCTGCTTTGATTCGCTCCCTCTCAGCCTCTGGATCAGCTTCTTGTGATTACCCAGTTTTCCTTCCTCATGGCAGCCCCACCGTGGCCCATCGCCTGCTCCGCTTCCAGCTGCTCCCTGGAGCAGATGTGTGTGTGCTGTGCGGTCCTACCCCTACCCTGCATAGAGCAGAGAGTGGGCTGGTGTGTCGTTTCTGGTCACCCCTGGTGGAGACCCTGAGAGACTGCCTGGCTGTTGGAGAGCGCTGTTTACCAGCATCTGTATCCCTGCGCCCTGATGTGCTGGCACTTCTTCTCATCAACCGTGAAACACGTCGGTCAGTCTCTTGTGTGCGGACTCCCACTAACCATCTGCACAGTGACCCTCCTTTACCCTCCAAGGCCCGCTGCTGGGAGCTGCTGAAGCTGTTCTATATCTTCAGCACAACACGCTACTTCAGCCAGGAGGAGACATTGTGTGTCTCCCCAGAGGAGAGGGCTCAGAGAAGCAACACTGAAGACTTTGTCCTTGGATTCTCACACCAGCCGCTACAGTGCTACCTAGTTACAGAGGAGTGCAAAAGCTATGGACTTCAGACAGCGCAGCATCAGCTCTTCCTGCTTATCCCATCATCAGTCCCCACCTTTGCACTCCGCACAGTGGCCACACAGACTCTCTCTGATATAGTTGCAGCCACTCGGTTTTAATTGAACAGTTCACTTTGCTATAACATCTCAATTTTGGGGAAACCTACCATGTTTCACCTCATAATATGTGAACAGGTGAATAGCCATTCACCTGTAATCTGAATTCACTGCTGATATTTAGTTTTTCCCATATACAGTATATTTCCTGATGACTGCAAACATAAAATTACATGTTGACTAACAGATCTACAGTAGAGGCATAAAAATCAGCTTTTATCTGTTCATCTTTTATGAAGACAATGATTAACTGACCACTCATGAGAGCTGTTCAGTAGAAAAATGTATCACTGTTAATCTAGTATGAATTATGAAAGTATGAAAACTGTTGAAAATGTCATACCAAAGTGAACTTCTTTTAGGCTTGTTTTGCATTTAAGAGAACAGTCACTCTCACAATTGTGTCTAACTTCACTGGCTTCAAGGCTAAACTGTCACAGCAATGAAAGCTGGTTAGATTGCAGTTCAAATTCCGTTGGCACACTGAATACTAACTAACATTATCACTAGGGTTGCACTGGGTTTTAAAATGTATTAGCCTAAGGAATAATGTGAAAAGTTGCACTGGGATAAATAAGTGCCTGCTGTTTATTGTTCTGAAATTTTGAATCATTTAGCTTCAAAAAAGATGAAGTAATTTATTTGTCTGCTTGAGTTCTGATCCTAAATATAGTCTATTACTTTCTATGGGCCTTTGTATTGTTGAGTGATTTATTCCCATTATTCTTACAGCTGATGTGATAGTGGTAAGGTTTGCACTCTGTTGGTTGAACCTTTCATTGCAAAATAAGTGTGCAACTGCAAATAATATCATAAACCACTTACAAAAATGAAGCAAATGCAGCTCAGTGGTTGTAATATTAATATTTCAATTTAAACAGCTTGTCAGTGAAAGATGTCTATTTCATATCTCAGACAGTTTCTTGACAGCTGACACACAGTGGACAGTATGGATGAAGTAGACTGCTAAGTGTATTGAACTTTAAGTAAAGAAAATCTAAAGGCATCTGCTAGGACTTCTGTTCTATAACTCACACTTATAGATGTAAAAAAAATAACAAAGCTATCTCTAGTCCACACCACATAATGCTGTAATAATAGTGTAATAATAGACTATTGATAAAACACATACACAATTATTTAATGAATACACCTTGGCATGATAATTGCTGTGTTTTGTCTTGTTTATATCTGCGCTGGTAATTTCAAGAAACCTATCGCTCTCTCACTTTTCAGTGTGAAGGCAGAGTTTCACTGAAAGTCACACTGAGGATCAGTAACATCCCAGTAAGTAGTTTCTAATCCCAGTTTTATGCTCATTTTGTATGTAGAAGTACCTGTGAGTGAGGCGAGGCTGTCGGAGAACAGGACCATCCCTGTTCAACCTGAGAAATGTGAAATTTGAACCAGTGCCATTAGGCCTGACCTTATCAGTTTAACCCCACCATCAAGGGCCTATAAACACTGAGGAGCAACAATGACACAATACATTTAACTACAGGCCTGTAGGAATATTCCAGGAAGGTTTTTTTTCTTGCATCAAAGCCACTATGTGTAGACTTTTAATGTGATTTTTTTTTTATTTTTTTTTTAAAAATTATTCTGATGGCAGGAATAATACAGACTTTGTCAAAGGAATTTGCATTAAACCACCCCAGCAGATGGAGGAAACAAGTCCAGTCCAGATAGGAGGAGCATTCATAATTATTTTCTTCACTTAGCAGCCTTCAAAGTCTCCACCCAAACCGCATGGAGCTCTCAGGACAAAAAGTGAGGCGCGGTGCAGTAAGCCCGGGGTTGGAAGTTGGAAACTGCATCAGTTCGCTGGTTATATCTTTCTGAGCCAGTAGGTCTGTAGTCCAGAGCAGTTCAGGCTCAGTAACCGGAGAACCGACCCTGACTGACAGCCTCACGGTGCGTGGGATACGGGAGAAGAGGGGGTGGGATAACGGTGGACATGAAGCCACACAAAGGGGAGGGATACGCTCGCTGGTTGTAGTGTTGCCATGTGTGCAGGGAATGCACCCCAAAAATTTCAGCGAGAAAAGTTTAGTCAGTGTACGTGGGTGCAGTCAGGGTCCTAAGAAACTTCATGCGACTTCAATATAAATTTGTCGAAGTCCCATGAGCACTATCACCTCTAAGGTTCAAAGGTCTGAATGCTTAGTCACTTTTAGGAGCGCGGTGGCTCCACTTGCACAACTTTGATTTCACTTCTCTCGAGTGAAGCGACCGGCGCCGTGCAGGTCTTTGTCGAACCGCAGAGGCTTTTAAAGTTGCTCCACTTGTTGAAACAAACCCCGTGCGATATGTCAGCCTCACGGATGCAGTTGCTAACACCCAGAAGCGTTCGGCTTTTAAGCCGGGGGCGAAACGAGTTGTTAGCCGGTAGCGGTGCAGCGCAGCGGCTCGGCAATGGTCCCAGGGTCCGCTCACTGACCTCTCCCCCTCTGTCCTCCTCTCCCGGCAGAGCCTTATCGAGTTTGAGTGCGACGCGACGCGGGCTCCCCAAAGAGAAAATGTCTGAAAATGGAATGGTGTCCCGGGCCAAGGTGTTGACCATCGACACCATGAACCCCACGGTGAAGAAAGTGGAGTACGCCGTGAGGGGCCCCATCGTGCAGCGAGCTGTGGAGCTGGAGAGGGAGCTCTCAGAGGTTTGTAAAACCAGCTGTCTGATCTCAGTGTGAATGCCACCTGGAGCCTCTGTTGCACCAGACCTCTCCTTTTTTTAACCCACTTCTCATCTCCTTACATGTTAAATATATTTTGTGTCGTATTTCTTTCATTACATCAGCCCGTTATAGGCTTATTCCGCTGCATAGACTCTGGCAGTGTAGACTAGCACAAGCAAGTTTGCCCAGCAGATTGTAAATAAGAAGACAAAGTACTTCACCAGACAGGCTTAAACTGTCGCATAGCCTTTTTATGTTTACTGAAAATGTAAATTGTTTTAAAATTACATCGCAGCTTTGACTCTATTAAAGGGGGCTCTTCATGCCTATTTGCTCCTGATGAATGCTTGTGTTTTTTTTGGCTAAGCACAGATCCAGTCTGTGTCTTTCATTAGTTATAATTACAGATCAGCAGATTTCCTTTCCTAATTATGTTCTCACCATTACCATCTAAACATTATCCCCAAAGAAAATTCCACCCTTGTATCAAAGTCCATCAGTTGGTTAGTGATTCCTGAGAAAGTTCATCATATCAGACAATTTGGAGACCGGTATGATCCAGATAATGTGCTGTACCCACAAATTTCACCATCCCTTTCTGTCCGGTCCTCAATGTTAATCTCTAACTCATGTGTTTTTTTAAGTCACACTCATTGCTTTTTCATCCTCTCCTGTTTTTTTAATCTTAGTTGCTCATGGAAAGAGAGAGAGGTGAAAGTCCATAGTCTGAACTACTGACTGTGTTTTTTCTGTCCAGTCTGGTTGTACTATCGTGTTTCACCGTCTGATGACCCAGTGATGATATGTGTCAGTCAACCTCTGAAAATTCCTAATGTCCAAAATATCAAACTGTCCAACTTGGCAAAACATAAACATAGTTGCGGCTGTAAATGTGTTTTATATGTTATATATTCTAGGTCCTTTCAAAGTTACTGCCACTGTAAATCCAGATCATTTGTGCATTCCCCTTCTTTTTTTTTTTAAGCACTATCTGATCCCCTCCTCTGGCACTGTTTCTGGTGATGTGGCAACCAGCTGTTAGTGTACCGAGTGCAGTCTGGTGTGAAAACTGTCCTCTCTTGAGTGCTTTGCTCAGGAAGGGATGAGTATGCGAACAGGTTCTTGCACAGGTGAAAAGCTCAGTGGCATGGGCCTGCAGCAGCTGTAATGACAGTAGTGACCTTTTTAACCAGATGGTTCACTTGCACCAAAGATTTTATGCTCTGTTTGTTCTGATCAGTGCTTATTTGCAGCCGACCCTTTTGCTGTAGGATATTTATTTTCCTCTCAATTGTACAAGAGGTTGATCAGGTATTATCAAGTTGATATTTAGATGTTCAGAAAGCAGAAAGAAATTGCAAATCCAGCCAAGATATTGAGAGATGGGAGCATTTTCAGAGGACCAATAAAATAACTGCTATCCTTATTATAGCTGCTAATACATTTTTATTCATCACATTTCCCTTTAAGACAGAAGCACTGCCGTTTCTTTGTTCATTAACTGCACAATTTCAGTAGTAGAGCACCAAGTCAGAAGGCAGAAATGTACTACAAATAATCAGCTACAGTCTTCTCAGTTAAAAGTCTTCAGAAGAACGGAACTTAGATTTTAATGGATGTTCAACTGTTTTTCTAAGTTTAGTCAAAACACATTCCTCTTAATTTTACAGCCTCCTCCTCACCAAGTTGCAGTGTTGGATGGTGTTGTGTTACCTTGGGAAACAGGTCACAGTGGTATTCTCTCTTTTGTCCGGGAATTAAATACGCACGCGCACACACATACACAGATGCACACACTGTGATCCCCTACTCCTGTTTCCTACACACCTTGTTTTTTGGAAGTGAGATCTTTGCTCTTCATTTACAGTACAAGCATGGCATTGTTTTTGTCCACCCCCCCCCCCCCCCAATACTAAAGATGGGTTGTTCAGAGCTTTTCCTAATAGGGAGCAGAACCAGACCAACACTGAGCCAACTGAGTGCACCAGTTAACAAGTACACAGGGCTTCACATGCAGTTGTTACTTCGTGGTCTTTGTTTTGTCCCAGTGAGCAGCTAGCTGATAGCGAATGGGGACCTTTCGAGAGAGTTATTGTCAGGACAGACCATCGATACACAAAGCTAGTTTTTGTCAGATTCTTTCCACATATTCTGCCAGAATGAAATGTGATATGCAAACCTCTAAAATGTTTTAAATTATAGAAGCCATGCTGAGTTTGCATTTCAAACAAGATTGGTCTGAATATTGGATGTATCTGGTATCGAGTGGCTGAAAAAAATGTTAATGAATGAATAAAAAGTCTTTTCTGTAATTCCTTGGGAGTAAAAAGAAATACTGCGTGATCTTTGCATCGAGAGCACTGCTTCACCTTCTGCTGGAACTACAGCTTTGTTTGCTGGACTGTTATCAGTGATGGAGGACAAAAAGCTCTGGCCTTTCTAGTCTGTTCCCAGGAGCAGAGGTCAGTTTGTTTCTAAAAGATCTCCTTCATGAATGGGCGGTACTTTTGACCTAGGGGTGTTATTCTCCGCGTATAATGTTATTGGTCGAGACTGAGAGACGCCTCTTATGTGTGACCAATGAGAGAGCCAGAGACTCGCGCTCTCTAAAATCTGAAGTCTGAATTGGACAAAACAAACAAACAAGCTGCTTTGATTTCTGCAGGGGGAGAGCGTGCGGTTCCACTTGTGGCCTCTCTGCAGCCTCACGCTGTTCCTAACATCTGGTGTTAACTGCATGAATGTGTGTGCGTGCTTTTGTTTGTGCACGTGGTTGCCTGCATGGTTGTTTGTCCTCTGTCAGTGATCTCAGCTGAAATGTTGTATCATTGTCCTGGAGGACAGTAAATTGATACCTGAATGTTGACAATGTATTCTCCAAAGTATTTTTTTTTACTTTCGATTCACCACTGCTTTACTGTCATAAATCCTGTTCTTTCTCAGCCTTCACTAAATGAGGCTAAAGGCCTCTCTATAAATGTATGTCTCTGTGTTTATGGGTCAGAAGGTTAGTGGTATCAGTATAATAAGGAAGTTTTCTCAGGTTGAAACTTTGTTCCGCTGTTTGCACACAATATCAGCGTCAAACTTGTTGCAAATGCACTAAATTGTTTTTACCATATGGTTTCTATCTCCAATACAATCTAGTGTAAGCTCCCTAATAAACCCAGTTCAACATCTGGACTAGATGTTTGTTTGCATAAAATTTTCTTCATTTCTGTCAGTAAAGAATTGTACTCCACTTTGACATTGGTGAATATCATTAAGTGTGTATGAGAAAAATATGGAAAGTTAGCATCGAGAATGAACAGCTGACACTGTTACTCAGAAGATCTGACTTGTAAAATTTCATTTAAAAAAAAAAAAACTGGAAATGACTCTGTGGAGTAAAGCTACTTGTTTGGATAAACTTAATTTAACACCAGTAGAAGCAGAAAATCTGTTGTATCACATGTGCCAAATTTTAGTCAAAGACAACATTTGGAACAAGATATCCAAAGGAAAGTAAAAGGTATGTGGTCAAGGTTGTTTAGGTGCAGTGGGGGCTCTCAGCCAACCCCCATTTTGAGTCAGGTTTGTTTATGGGAGGTCACTGTAAAATTCAGAAAAAAAGTAAATTACATAATTGCTTGTATGCAAAGAGAATAAACGCTCTCACTGTTCGCACTTTTGCTTCCATTCTTCAGATATATAATCACTTCTGTGTGTTGTGTTTATGTTATGCAGGGAATGAAGAAGCCATTTGCTGAGGTCATCAAGGCCAACATTGGTGACGCGCATGCTATGGGCCAGCAGCCAATCACTTTCTTCCGACAGGTCTGCTCCTACCCCCCCCACCCTCACCAACCCCCCAAACCTCATCTAAACTCATCTAAATATAGCACCTCCCCTCTGACTTCTGAATGACTAAAAAGTGATTTCTTCCTCCTTAGATAAGTTGGTGTCAATCAGTCTTACGCAGTAATGGGTGCAGCATTTTACATTCTGTCCCTTCCACCCTTTGTACTCACACTTCCCTTTGTTTCAAGGTCTTGGCTCTATGCTCCTACCCTGAACTATTGAATGACAGCACATTCCCAGAGGATGCTAAAAGTAGAGCACACCGCATTCTCCAGTCCTGTGGAGGGAACAGTATGGGTGTGTATGAGCAAACACAGCAAGCATGATGTAACCCTGGCTGCTTATTATCACTTTCTTTTTATATGTCTCATTGGGTGTTCAGTTGTGCTTTCTGGTGGTGCTTTGTTGTGTTAAAGCTATAAGTTGTCTCCACATGAATCTCCCTCAGGCTCCTACAGCGCCAGTCAGGGCATAGACTCTGTGCGTCAGGATGTGGCCCGCTACATTGAGCGAAGGGATGGCGGCGTTCACTGCGACCCGGACGACATTTACCTCACCACAGGGGCCAGCGACGGCATTGTGGTACAAAGCACCTCTCATTTTGACTTCCTGACTTTGTGTCTCTTCAGTACTTTTAATCGTACATCTAGCTATAATGAAGGCAGTCTAACGCAACAGCTCGACAATAAATCCTCCCTTCATGGAGGTTGTAATGTTCAGTTTGTGTTGAAACTGCTCCAGAGAGGGGTTGATTCAACCGTATGGTCATTTTGGAGGATGTCGTTTGGAATGCTGTTGAATTGTATTGTGTTATACTGACACCTCTCTGTATAATGCAATATAACATATCTTGCCTTCCCCATCCTGCCCTGTCAGACGATGCTGAAGCTGCTGATGTGTGGTGAAGGTGCGGCCCGTACGGGCGTCATGATCTCCATACCTCAGTATCCCCTGTATTCGGCTGCATTGGCCGAACTTGGCGCTGTGCAGATCAACTATTACCTTAATGAGGAAAAGTGCTGGAGTATGGACATCAGCGAGCTGCAGCGCGCCCTGGATGAAGCTCGGCAGTACTGCAACCCTCGAGCCCTGTGCATCATCAACCCTGGAAACCCCACTGGTAGACTTCAAATTTTTATCTGTGAAAATTAATATAATTATGATGTCAGGTTCAATTACTTTAAATTAAATCTCCCTGCATAACGTATATACAGCGTGTCTCCCTTTAGTTGTAGTTTTATGTCAACAGATTTCATGTGCTCTTCAAAGAGGAGCCACTAGATGGCAGCAAATAGATATAGCTGCCCACTTAATCACCAATTTCAAATGCCTCTCCATGATGAGCCTCCTCTTCTCTCTCAGGTCAGGTTCAGAGCAGAGAGTGCATTGAAGATGTAATCCGATTTGCAGCAAAGGAACGCCTCTTCCTCATGGCTGATGAGGTACGGTCTCTGCATATCTTTTTAACGTCTGCCTGCTTTATTGTCCACTTCACCCTGTGATATATTTCATTCTGTCCCCATCACCCAGGTGTACCAGGATAATGTGTATGCTGATGGTTGCCAGTTCCACTCTTTTAAGAAGGTTCTGTTTGAGATGGGCCCAGAGTACTCAAATACAGTGGAACTGGCATCGTTCCACTCCACTTCAAAGTGTTACATGGGAGAGTAAGTCATCGCACTTTCATGCTGGGATAAATCCGTCAGGAGTCATGACCACAATGTTAACAACTAGTTCTGTGTGTGTTTGGTTGTGTTTCTTTCTGTCTTTTTGTTCTTGCACACATTTTTGGTGCTACTAGGTCACATCATAATGTTTTTGTCTCTCTCTTAGGTGTGGTTTCCGTGGAGGCTACATGGAGATCATCAACATGGACGATGACGTGAAGGCCCAGCTGACTAAGCTGGTGTCGGTCCGTCTGTGTCCTCCAGTCCCCGGTCAGGCTCTAATGGACCTGGTGGTCAACCCTCCGCAGCCTGGGGAGCCCTCATATGACAACTTCATCAAGGTGCGCAGTTTTCATCCTACAGCCCTCATTATTCATACTAGGGGTGGAACAGATAATCAATTCACCAATACAGTATATAATATGATTAAACATAATATGTTGTTATGAATTATTGTTTATATAATGAAGTTAACTGGCACCTGTAAGATTACACATTCTTTCTGCAATGTACTATCAGTCCCCTGTCACATGTCCATGTTGCTGTGTAAAAATGACTGCATGCATAACACTCAGTTTTATCTCGAATCTCTGTGAAACTGAAATTACTTAGTAATACAGTGAATATGCATTTTATTCCATTATAAACCACTATATTTCTGTTTGATGACAAATTAGTTGGACTTATGATACAACGACCATTATCATGGTCGTTGTATCATAACAGTTCTTCCAAAAGCTTGCACGAAACCGCTTTGGGAAGTGTACATATGGATTACTTATGAAACCCCGTCATGACTTCCTGTAGGTGTGGAAAAATTATCTTGTGTGTAAAAAGATTCATATGATCTTTTTACACTTTTTGTACAGTGTCTGACATGGGCATTCGTCCGTCTCGTGGAACTCACAGAAGTCTGGAGAGATTCAAGCAGAAAACTTCATTAAAAAAAAAAAAAAAGGCCAGAGACACAGTGGGCCATTTTTTAATTTTAAACCCATGATGTAAGGCAGGGGACAACTTAATGGTGCTGAAACCCTTTCCAGAATTGGTCATTTTCACACTGCTTTAGGACTTACAAATACCATTTTCTGTGGCTGAGATTTCCTCCGGACCACCTTGAGCTTGATAAGACAGGGTATTGCTACATAAGATGAATGTTTCTAGTGCACTCAGTCACAGGCAGTGCAAATGTAGTTGCCAGTGGTTTCTGATTCTAGTAACGTCTCTCTTTGGTTTAATTTATTTTTCTCTCTATCCTCTTCTTATTCTCTCTCCCACATCCAGGAGCGCACAGCCACCCTAAGTACCTTAGCAGAGAAGGCCAAGCTTACAGAACAAGTTCTCAATACTGTGCAAGGTATCAGCTGCAATCCTGTGCAGGGTGCCATGTACTCCTTCCCTCGCATAACCATCCCTGAAAAAGCCATCAAAGAGGCCATGGTCAGTCTTTTTTATAAATTTTTCAATGATTCAAATTTGACTGTATTTTTGCTTCAGGGGTATTGATCAGGAGAGGAATAAAATAGATTATGCAGTTATATATATATATTTTTATCTCTACACTCCTACCAATCTACAACGTATTATTTGGTCAACTTATTATTATTTCACTTACTATTTCTCTTCATGGTCTCAACACCCATTGATCCTTTAAGACCTGTGTTCCAATACAAACAACCAAAACCAATCAATGAAATTAAATTTGGGAAACAGTGCAGCAAGACATAAGAGCAACATCTCGAACTCTACACTATGCTGGATTAAATAACACTTTAACCAGGTTCACTCTGCATCCACCACCCTTTGCTAAAGGGAACAAATGATTTCCGATAGCTTGCGGTTTCGAGTCTGTCCCGTGGTTGACTGCTCAGTAGGAATTTCAGGGATGGCGGATGAGCCAAGCCACTGAGAATCTGATTAGCCTTACAGAGGATAAGGTCAGAGCAAAGCTGACCCCCCGACACTTGATCAATCCCAGTGACTGTCCAGACCAGCCTGATCACACAGTTGTAGTATAACTTGTTCTTGCATGTGCTTTTCCCCAAAACAATGCGCGAACCCAGAGCTTGTCCTCGATCACTTAAAAAGATTGGAAAAGTGTTTTACAAAAGCTTTTGATCCAGAGGATATGCTTCAGATTTATTTTACCTCCAAGTACTATTCATCTCTCTTTGTTTTTTGTTAATATCAACCTTCAGTTGCCTTTTTACAGCTGGAAAAAATGTCCTTACTCAAAGCCGATGGGCACCTGTACTGAAATAACTCTGAAACACACGGACAAAAGGGGAAAATTGTCACCATGAAAAAACAGTACAAATGATTGAAAATGAAGAGCTTTTCGGGTCACCTGGTCTCTCTCTCTCTCACTGCTACTATCGAATTAAAGGAAAAAATGCCCCAAAAAATAATATAATTTTAAAATAAATAAATCATGATTACCATTTCTATAATGGAAATACAGGAATGGACTGTTGGTTGCAAAGATATGCTCAGTTGATCTGTTTCTGCTTTCATTTGGTCTCCTGTCATTTTATCTTCTGCAAATTGAAAGTCCTTCCCACTAAATTTAAGTAATGAATCAAAAACAGAATGCAGTGGAAGGAAAATAATAAAGTGTTGGGAATGTTACAAAAAAGTGCATACAATACTTATAGTATGAAGGCTGTACTAGGATCACAGTAATAGCAAAACTACACTTAAAAAAATTGCTTAATAATAATAGTCCCAAAAAAGCAGAATATAAAGTCTCAGATACTTTATCATGTTCCCTTTCCTCTCTATTAGGACATAGGTCAGCAGCCAGATATGTTTTACTGCATGAAGATGCTGGAGGAGACAGGGATCTGCCTTGTACCTGGAAGCGGCTTTGGCCAGAAGGATGGAACCTACCACTTCAGGTTGTAAAATACACACAGTTGCCAGTTTATTAGGTACACCTAGTTAAAACAAATCTTTTGCATTGCTTTTTGCTAGGTGAACCTAATAAACTTGCAACTGATTGTAAAGAAAAGAGAATGATGATGTCATATTACCCCTTCATACTCTCTCCAGTTACTGAATAATAATTCTTAAGTAGTTCGTCCATAATAATCGTTAACTCTTTGCCAAGGCATCCTGTTGTTAATCACTGACATTAACGGTTAATTTTTGTCTTTCCTTTCTACTACTCTCCCGGTCAGGATGACGATCTTGCCACCGACGGACAAGCTGCAGATCCTGCTGAACAAAGTCAAAGAGTTCCATCAGAAATTCACCCACCAGTATTCTTAAATTTCCATATCTGTTTTTCCTACAATTCTCAAAGGGAGGAGCTCACCAACCACCACAACAAAGAACACAGCCAATCACCATTTATCTGTCACTAATAAGTGCCTTCTCTACGGCGGCTCTGGTGGTCTCTATGACGACGCACTTCAGCCTCTACAGCAATTTCACTTGGACATTGGTGGACAGTACACAAGGCACTGTTTTGTGTCCGAAAACAAAACAAAACTGGAGATGAAGAAATGAAGTCAGAGCCATGTTTCAGTTTAGTATGAAAAATGTGGCTTCATCTAATATTGTTCCTGTTTTGAAAGATGTATTTACTCTAAGTCTGTGTATTTGTGAGTATGAGAGATAGATTGTATATGTCAATGCCAAGCTTAAAAAAAAAAAAGGTACAGTTGAAGAAAATGTGATGCTGCTTAAAACCTCCAGTACGTCTACAATTGGTTAAAATATTCCATTCCTGCAGGCTGTACTGGACGGGGAGAATATACAGGATAGATTCATTTGCATGATGATTAAGAAATGATTTTTTAGAGTCAAAATAAATGTAACAGTCTACGGTTTGTCTCATTATTTCAGAAAGAGCTTTCGGATGTGTTTAGAGTTTATAAGAAGACAAATAGGTCATATCCTTTGACTGTGAAGATGTGTCATGGAATGTCACAAGTGCATTATTTAACATTGAAATCTTCGTACTTTCATCAAACGAGGAATTAGGCAGTAACAGTTGTCTGATATTTGAAAAGAAACTGTCTAAAACAGAAATATAAATGCACAGTGGTTAGTCATTTCCCTATTTCTGCATTCATTACACTATATAAGGCCAAAAGAAAGTACATCAATCACGAAATGTTACTCATTAACGATAACAAGGTAGTTAAAGTGTTCAATGTTTGAAAGAAAAATGACATGTTTTGCCTCTTTAAATTGAAAAGCTGAATTTCAAAAATGAAACACTTGCTCAGTTCAGTACACTCGGTGGGGGGGGGGGCTTGCTGCCACAGTCTTTGGACTGGTATGATCAGTAGCTTATGTGATATTGCTGTGTAACTGACATTAGTGAGAAATGTAAAGGTGTTTTTGTTGCAAAAGTAAATCAAGAAATTTAACACTACACCTATTCCACTTACTATAAATGCACGTTACCTAATGATTATGTCTGTAAGGCAAATTAATTAATTAGTTGTGTGGTGAACATGTTTCTGGCCAGTTCAACATTCGCTCTCTTGTTAGCTCTGCTTTGTTTCTGATGGATATATGGTTCCATAGCTGCAAAGTGCTCCTCCTGATGTGTTCCTGAAAAACCAAAACAATAAGCTAAACCAGATTAGAAAAATCCACAGAACTCAGTGTTGGGTGATAATTCCCAGTGGGATCATCGCTGCACAATATCTTTCAAATTACACATTGTAATTTGATCCATTGGTGTGTGTAAAGGATGGCTCGCTGTTACAGTGGTTAGCATTGTCGCCTCACAACGAGAAGGTTCTGGGTTGGAACCCTGGGCCTGGGGCCTTTCTGTGCGGAGTTTGCATGTTCTCCCTGTGCCTGCCTGGGTTCTCTCCGGCTTCCTCCGGCTTCCTGCCACAGTCCAAAAACATGCACAATAGGTTAATTGGCAACTCTAAAGTGCCTCTGTCTCTATGTGTCAGGGTGTACGCTGCCCTCGCCCAATGTCAGCTGGGATTAGCTCCAGTATAGATAATGGATGGATGAATGATAGTTTAAAAATATTTATTAGTGTAGCTTTAAAATAAGTTAAATTCAGTGTGCCATTATCCTGTAATTGCCACCCGTGGCCACAGGGGGCGCTGCTCAGCAAGTTACAAAGTGTCACACAGGTAAACATTTGATGTTTATCTGTGTGGTAATTTTGGGTAGTATATGTGTGAAGCCAAATAAAGGACAGAATCGTTGTTCTGTTGTGACTCTGTTATGCAGACAATTTCCACTTCAGTGGTAAAGAGTAAGGTGGTTCCTCAGACCTCACACACATCTGTGAGAAGGTGAGATGTGAGCTGTCTGCACACAGCTGAAACCGTCACCTCTAATAATGATAGTGTTCATTCAGGCTCAAAAGGCCGGATGTGTAGATACCACAACTGTCTTTATTGTCTCTATTAGCCTGTCATCTATTTTATTGCCTAGTATGCAGTTTCCAAGCAAGCTGAGATGATGAATGGCACTGCAGGTTGTGTGTGTGTGTGTGTGTGTGTGTGTGTGTGTGTGTGTGTGTGTGTGTGTGTGTGTGTGAGAGACTGAGTGTCTATGTAGAGGCTGTGTTAAAGTGAAGCTTGTAGTTTGAAGGGGTTTTCTGCTCCCTTCCTCTCTACTCCACAGTGGCTGTCAGCTTNTATACACATGCATTTGAGTGTGTGTGTGTGTGTGTGTGTGTGTGTGTGTGTGTGTGTGTGTGTGTGTGTGTGTGTGTGTGTGTGTGTGTGTGTGACGTGTAGAGACTGAATGACTATGTAGAGACTGTGTTAAAGTGAAGCTTGTAGTTTGAAGGGGTTTTCTGCTCCCTTCCTCTCTACTCCACAGTGGCTGTCAGCTTTAATTATCTTTGACAAAGGGCCTCCTGAATCCTAATTATACTGAGCTTTGTCTTTCCTGGAGCACCTCACCATTCACTCCAGCAGCATGACGTGCTCACACGTTCCAGTCCTCTTCACTCTAAATTAATTGGGTGCGTTTGCATTTTTTCTCTCATCTCTTGACATCTTTTGGGAATCAAAGGTCATCATTAGTTCGGGTGAGGATGTAGGGTGACAGAGAGCCAGTCATGCATCAGACATCAGCGCTGTCATGTGGCTTTCCTGGTTATGACAATGACCACTCTTTAGTCACCATGTACAGTCTTATATGAGGAGGTACATATGATGGACTGGAAGAGCTTATTGAGACTGTGTGGCGTTTGTGAATTGTGAATCATGTTGTGTTCAGTATTCTGTATGTGGAAAGTTCAGCTGGTCCAACTTTGGTTGGTATTCAGCATGAAAATGAAAGGTGATTCCACAGAAAATGACTCACTCACACCAAAGGTACTTAAACCTTAACTCTTAAGGTATTTATAATTGAAAATGGAGAACTCAAACCAATTTTACATGCAAAAAGTCAACACAATCAGAAATATCCAAATGCAAGTTAATCACAATTATGATTGTGAAATCAAATTGATTTGTATTCATTTGGAGTTGTGTTTCTGGGCCATCTGATGACTTTAATCCAATAGTCACTCTTGTTTTAACTCTGCTTTGGGTCTCCACCAATGCCTTAAGGAAATATATGGCTCTTTAGCAGCTTGTTGCCACCTCTGCCATTTGGTGCTGGACAGGTAGTGTACAGTGGGTATTTATTTATTTATTTATTCAAGAAAACAATGTCATGTGTGGAAATTATGCCAATTAGAGCAGTGAGACTGAACCGTCGAGCGGTGAAACCATAACAAGTTAAACAACACTAAATCACTCCGTAGAGCCGGAGTGATCTGCAGTCAGATAATAATACTCTGTGGGTTCATCACTACAACAAGCAGCCCCTTTCATAAAAACACATAGCCTACTGTAACCTTGTCATCCAAGTCATTGCTAATAGGAAAATATTGATTTGAGCCGCTTCAACAAAGCTCTAAAGGCTTCCTCCGTCACACTGCCAAGAACATACAGCGGAAAAATGCTTTATTTATTGGCCCCCCCCAAAAAAAATCACATTTTAACATATTGACTCTAAAAATCCTTACATCAGCCAATAAAATTCCTACCACATGGAAGTTCCTTTGGGTGCTAAAATCCACAGAAAAATAACACAGGCCAAAACGTCAAGCATCCTCAGCCCTGAATGGCTGATGTGGAAGGTAAATTTGTTCCATTGCCCACGGAGCCGGAGGTAATTTTTTTTAAAACACATATCTGGTTAAAATCTTGGGGCTCAAGTTTTGAATCTAGAAGCAGGAAGATATAATCTTTCCTGTCATGATTGCATTTTTTGTTATTTTTTTGCTTGAATGACCTAGAGGGGTTATCCTGTAAGGGGGATTTATGCAGAGTAGTGTTGGGTAAGATATTTCTGTGATTCCCTAAATTTCTTAAGATACTCACACTTATCGTTCTGTGAAGCCAATCTCACCAATTTAGTAACAAGGAAAAATTATGCAGAAATACTAAATTATCCAGGTCTGCTTCTATCTTTGTCCTGTATGTTGTCATTATGCTGCAAATTAAAACGTGCTGTAAATGGAACTGGTGCGTTGTGGAAAGTGTGTGAATGAGTCAGACGAAGCATCAGTATCTCCAATCAGCAACTGCATTGTTTTCTTGAAGACATGACATGTGGCCACTACTTAACGTTGTGCTAAACTCTGTTGTTGCAATCACTACGTTGAACACAATGATTTGCATTTAGTTGTTATGTAATTGTACATCTGGGGAAAAAGAAAAAGATTTCTGCTTCCCTTCTCGTATGTTTGGTTGTTTCTCAATGTCAGCCTGATTTGTTTCCATATTACCTCCATTTTATTTCTCTTAGAGTTTTTTTTTCAGTTTGAAACACAAACATAAACATAAAAACTACAACAGCAACTGGAGGAAATTGAAGTCAGACAATTAGTAGTTGTTTTTTTTTAGCTTGCATTAGATGAAAAGTGATACTACTGTCGTATTTGTCTAATAAATATAGGGCTATACTGCCAGAAACCAGTTATCTTAACTTAGCTTAGCATAAAGAGAAGCACTTTTTCCAAAATGTCAACTATTTATTTTATGTGCCCTTGAAAAAAAAACACTAATAAAACTTTTTTTTTTAAAAGTTGACCTTGGAAACTAAAATCTTCGTGGGACCAGAATCAGATGGAGGTTTTGGAAAATGTTTGTGGACCTTGACTAAAGATTATTTGTTTATTTGCTATTATTATTGTCAAAGCTGAAATTAATTGTATGTCACTTATTTCATGCACTATTTAATGCTTATTCCCTTATTCAAGAGAAGAAGCATCATTTAAAAAAAATCTCAGAACTAACAAAATAAGTCAATTGAATATTATCATAGAGCTTTATGGTGTGTTGTTGATATTCAGTAGTTTATTTTATTTCAGGTAATTTGTTGAACTTTATGGATTTCATAGCGCATATATGTCAAGGGGCTCAAACTGTTTTTCTTTGATATTTGGATGCTATATCATTTGAAAATGTATGTTAAAGTTTTCCATAACCTAGTTTGTCTTCTATTTTTTGACCTCTAAAAAATGTTAGTCATTCACATTTTCACACGACACACACAAGTAAATACTAAATGGAGAAGGGCAGATTTGGAAAAAAAAAAAGTAAAAGAAGAGAAAACAGTGAGAGGGAGGGAGTGATGATACAGAGATTGGGTGATAAATCTTGTTCTGATCAGGTTTCTCTGGTGCCCTCACACCTCAGTCTCTTTCTTGGGGTAATTAATCAATCCCAGACTGGAGGCATTGATCGGCCTCTTGCGGCCCTCGGTATGTTTACACTCCTCGATTGTATTTGCCACTAAGCCCCTCGCTGCCGCTCAATCTCATCGGCAGAAAATGTGAC